ATGTATGATGCCTCATTGTCGGAGATATTCCATATCTCCACCACCCTACTTTAGGGCTATGACGAAAACTCCTTGATGTGCATACTTTCAAACACAAGACTGTATGTGCCTCATATGAGAGATTCCTACCTGCCCTCTTCAGTAATATAGCGCATAATGTTCCCTGGTTTGAGGTCGCGATGTATGATGCCTCATTGTCGGAGATATTCCATATCTCCACCACCCTACTTTAGGGCTATGACGAAAACTCCTTGATGTGCATACTTTCAAACACAAGACTGTATGTGCCTCATATGAGAGATTCCTACCTGCCCTCTTCAGTAATATAGCGCATAATGTTCCCTGGTTTGAGGTCGCTGATGTATGATGCTCATTGTCGGAGATATTCCATATCTCCACCACCCTACTTTAGGGCTATGACGAAAACTCCTTGATGTGCATACTTTCAAACACAAGACTGTATGTGCCTCATATGAGAGATTCCTACCTGCCCTCTTCAGTAATATAGCGCATAATGTTCCCTGGTTTGAGGTCGCGATGTATGATGCTCATTGTCGGAGATATTCCATATCTCCACCACCCTACTTTTAGGGCTATGACTTAAAACTCCTTGATGTGCATACTTTCAAACACAAGACTGTATGTGCCTCATATGAGAGATTCCTACCTGCCCTCTTCAGTAATATAGCGCATAATGTTCCCTGGTTTGAGGTCGCGATGATGTATGATGCTCATTGTCGGAGATATTCCATATCTCCACCACCCTACTTTAGGGCTATGACTTAAAACTCCTTGATGTGCATACTTTCAAACACAAGACTGTATGTGCCTCATATGAGAGATTCCTACCTGCCCTCTTCAGTAATATAGCGCATAATGTTCCCTGGTTTGAGGTCGTGATGTATGATGCCTCATTGTCGGAGATATTCCATATCTCCACCACCCTACTTTAGGGCTATGACGAAAACTCCTTGATGTGCATACTTTCAAACACAAGACTGTATGTGCCTCATATGAGAGATTCCTACCTGCCCTCTTCAGTAATATATAGCATAATGTTCCCTGGTTTGAGGTCGTGATGTATGATGCCTCTCATTGTCGGAGATATTCCATATCTCCACCACCCTACTTTAGGGCTATGACGAAAACTCCTTGATGTGCATACTTTCAAACACAAGACTGTATGTGCCTCATATGAGAGATTCCTACCTGCCCTCTTCAGTAATATAGCGCGATAATGTTCCCTGGTTTGAGGTCGCGATGTATGATGCCTCATTGTCGGAGATATTCCATATCTCCACCACCCTACTTTAGGGCTATGACGAAAACTCCTTGATGTGCATACTTTCAAACACAAGACTGTATGTGCCTCATATGAGAGATTCCTACCTGCCCTCTTCAGTAATATAGCGCATAATGTTCCCTGGTTTGAGGTCCGCGATGTATGATGCCTCATTGTCGGAGATATTCCATATCTCCACCACCCTACTTTAGGGCTATGACTTAAAACTCCTTGATGTGCATACTTTCAAACACAAGACTGTATGTGCCTCATATGAGAGATTCCTACCTGCCCTCTTCAGTAATATAGCGCATAATGTTCCTGGTTTGAGGTCGTGATGTATGATGCTCGTTGTCGGAGATATTCCATATCTCCACACCCTACTTTAGGGCTATGACTTAAAACTCCTTGATGTGCATACTTTCAAACACAAGACTGTATGTGCCTCATATGAGAGATTCCTACCTGCCCCCTCTTCAGTAATATAAGCATAATGTTCCCTGGTTTGAGGTCGTGATGTATGATGCCTCATTGTCGGAGATATTCCATATCTCCACCACCCTACTTTAGGGCTATGACGAAAACTCCTTGATGTGCATACTTTCAAACACAAGACTGTATGTGCCTCATATGAGAGATTCCTACCTGCCCTCTTCAGTAATATAGCATAATGTTCCTGGTTTGAGGTCGATGTATGATGCCTCATTGTCGGAGATATTCCATATCTCCACCACCCTACTTTAGGGCTATGGACGAAAACTCCCTTGATGTGCATACTTTCAAACACAAGACTGTATGTGCCTCTCATATGAGAGATTCCTACCTGCCCTCTTCAGTAATATAGCGCATAATGTTCCCTGGTTTGAGGTCGCTGATGTATGATGCCTCATTGTCGGAGATATTCCATATCTCCACCACCCTACTTTAGGGCTATGACGAAAACTCCTTGATGTGCATACTTTCAAACACAAGACTGTATGTGCCTCATATGAGAGATTCCTACCTGCCCTCTTCAGTAATATAGCGCATAATGTTCCCTGGTTTGAGGTCGTGATGTATGATGCTTCATTGTTGGAGATATTCCATATCTCCACCACCCTACTTTAGGGCTATGAGCGAAAACTCCTTGATGTGCATACTTTCAAACACAAGACTGTATGTGCCTCATATGAGATTCCTACCTGCCCTCTTCAGTAATATAGCGCATAATGTTCCCTGGTTTGAGGTAAGGTGATGTATGATGCTCATTGTCGGAGATATTCCATATCTCCACCACTACCCTAGTTCCCTGGTTTGAGGTCGCGATGTATGATGCTCATTGTCGGAGATATTCCATATCTCCACCACCCTACTTTAGGGCTATGACTTAAAACTCCTTGATGTGCATACTTTCAAACACAAGACTGTATGTGCCTCATATGAGAGATTCCTACCTGCCCTCTTCAGTAATATAGCGCATAATGTTCCCTGGTTTGAGGTCGCGATGTATGATGCCTCATTGTCGGAGATATTCCATATCTCCACCACCCTACTTTAGGGCTATGACGAAAACTCCTTGATGTGCATACTTTCAAACACAAGACTGTATGTGCCTCATATGAGAGATTCCTACCTGCCCTCTTCAGTAATATAGCGCATAATGTTCCCTGGTTTGAGGTCGTGATGTATGATGCCTCGTTGTTCCACCACCCTACTTTAGGGCTATGACGAAAACTCCTTGATGTGCATACTTTCAAACACAAGACTGTATGTGCCTCATATGAGAGATTCCTACCTGCCCTCTTCAGTAATATAGCGCATAATGTTCCCTGGTTTGAGGTCGCGATGTATGATGCTCGTTGTCGGAGATATTCCATATCTCCACACCCTACTTTAGGGCTATGACTTAAAACTCCTTGATGTGCATACTTTCAAACACAAGACTGTATGTGCCTCATATGAGAGATTCCTACCTGCCCTCTTCAGTAATATAGCGCATAATGTTCCCTGGTTTGAGGTCGTGATGTATGATGCCTCGTTGTTGGAGATATTCCATATCTCCACACCCTACTTTAGGGCTATGACGAAAACTCCTTGATGTGCATACTTTCAAACACAAGACTGTATGTGCCTCATATGAGAGATTCCTACCTGCCCTCTTCAGTAATATAGCGCATAATGTTCCCTGGTTTGAGGTCGTGATGTATGATGCCTCGTTGTCGGAGATATTCCATATCTCCACACCCTACTTTAGGGCTATGACGACTAAAACTCCTTGATGTGCATACTTTCAAACACAAGACTGTATGTGCCTCATATGAGAGATTCCTACCTGCCCTCTTCAGTAATATAGCGCATAATGTTCCCTGGTTTGAGGTCGCGATGTATGATGCTCATTGTCGGAGATATTCCATATCTCCACCACCCTACTTTAGGGCTATGACGAAAACTCCTTGATGTGCATACTTTCAAACACAAGACTGTATGTGACTCATATGAGAGATTCCTACCTGCCCTCTTCAGTAATATAGCGATAATGTTCCCTGGTTTGAGGTCGCGATGTATGATGCTCATTGTCGGAGATATTCCATATCTCCACCACCCTACTTTAGGGCTATGACTTAAAACTCCTTGATGTGCATACTTTCAAACACAAGACTGTATGTGCCTCATATGAGAGATTCCTACCTGCCCTCTTCAGTAATATAGCGCATAATGTTCCCTGGTTTGAGGTCGCGATGTATGATGCTCATTGTCGGAGATATTCCATATCTCCACCACCCTACTTTAGGGCTATGATCTAAAACTCCTTGATGTGCATACTTTCAAACACAAGACTGTATGTGCCTCATATGAGAGATTCCTACCTGCCCTCTTCAGTAATATAGCATAATGTTCCCTGGTTTGAGGTCGTGATGTATGATGCCTCGTTGTTCCACCACCCTACTTTAGGGCTATGACGAAAACTCCTTGATGTGCATACTTTCAAACACAAGACTGTATGTGCCTCATATGAGAGATTCCTACCTGCCCTCTTCAGTAATATAGCATAATGTTCCCTGGTTTGAGGTCGCGATGTATGATGCTCATTGTCGGAGATATTCCATATCTCCACCACCCTACTTTTTAGGGCTATATAAAACTCCTTGATGTGCATACTTTCAAACACAAGACTGTATGTGCCTCATATGAGAGATTCCTACCTGCCCTCTTCAGTAATATAGCGCATAATGTTCCCTGGTTTGAGGTCGCGATGTATGATGCTCATTGTCGGAGATATTCCATATCTCCACCCACCCTACTTTTAGGGCTATGACTTAAAACTCCTTGATGTGCATACTTTCAAACACAAGACTGTATGTGCCTCATATGAGAGATTCCTACCTGCCCTCTTCAGTAATATAGCCATAATGTTCCCTGGTTTGAGGTCACATGTATGATGCTCATTGTCGGAGATATTCCATATCTCCACCACCCTACTTTAGGGCTATGACGAAAACTCCTTGATGTGCATACTTTCAAACACAAGACTGTATGTGCCTCATATGAGAGATTCCTACCTGCCCTCTTCAGTAATATAGCGCATAATGTTCCCTGGTTTGAGGTCGCGATGTATGATGCCTCATTGTCGGAGATATTCCATATCTCCACCACCCTACTTTAGGGCTATGACGAAAACTCCTTGATGTGCATACTTTCAAACACAAGACTGTATGTGCCTCATTTGAGAGATTCCTACCTGCCCTCTTCAGTAATATAGCGCATAATGTTCCCTGGTTTGAGGTCGCGATGTATGATGCCTCGTTGTCGGAGATATTCCATGCCACTTGCTGAAAAACAACATTACAATGTATACTTATTATGGCTAAGAATACTTAATTGTGAAAAGCACAACGTTTTTGTGTGAAGGAGCAAGCATGCACTCCGAAACGTTGTTATTCACAATAAAGAAGTTGACATCCATAAATCTTGCTTTTCTTATATTGTTAAGTTGGATATTTATTTATCAATATATGTCACAAAAAAATCTGCAACAGCTGTAAAAGACTGCAACAATTTGATGCAACAATTCAATGCAACAGGCCATGAAGCATTGTCACTTATCAACATCATGCAACTCTTCCTTTCCAATTACCTTGTCCAATTTCATTATTCAAAGACATTCAATAAACTTTTGTCATATTATAACAATCAATCATAGACTTCATGAGTGATTACCTATTGGAAACTTGATCATAAACTGATTAAATGGGTCTGCCCTTACCGACATGTTTGAGAACAAGGAGGTATTCTTCTTCTGGTAATCCGTGGACATACTGTGGCTGGTCGAGCATGTGATACAAGCTTCCTCCTTCACAGTACTGCATGACAAGTACAACCCGTCTTGTGCTGAGCTGGAATGACAACATTGTGGAAAACAAGTGAATGAGTGAGAATGGTTTTACACCACTTGTAGCAATATTCCAGCAACATCATGTTGTCCTAGTTCTACAGTGGCTTATAAACATTCATCACAACTCAAACCAGTGGCTCACAGCAACGATCAGTGTAAGAGTGAGTGAGTGAGTTGGGTTTTACGCTGCTTTTAGCAATATTCCAGCAATATCACGGCGGGGGACACCAGAAATGAGCTTCACACATTGTACCCATGTGGGGAATCGAACCCAGGCCTTCAGTGTGACGAGTGAACGCCTTAACCACTAGGCTACCCCACCGCCCCATCAGAGTGAGGTAAAATTGGGTTTAATGTCGTGCTTGAGAACATTTCGCTCATATAACGACGTGCATGCGTATGTATGTGTATGTGTGGCTGCTTGTACTAGCCCAGACTGAAGCTGGTTTTATAGTGCTAGCCCACTGAGATACCAGGCCACATTGAAGCATGAATACCCTACTCAGACACATTATACTGACTCTGAGCCCCACAGTCCTTGTTGCACCCATTAATGCCGAGTGCCAGGCAGGGACCAACAAGTACCATATTTTAACGTCTTTTGGTATGACGCGGTCAGGGATCGAACCCGCGACCTTTAGCTCTCCGGGCGGACGCTCTAACCACTATACCACGGAGGCGGTCCCCCATCAGTGTAAGATGTCACAAAAGCAACTGAGCTGGGTCTCCTAACTGCTGCTCCTAAGTAAGCCCCCTTTTGACGAACTTGGGCTGCTGGGGGTTTAGTTCTGTCCCCTACAAGTCAACATACAATATGTATGCTCGGTGACATAGCGAGACAGTACAAGCTTGGCTTCCACCTATACGCAGACGACACACAGCTCTATCTCACCTTCAAGCCTATGGAACAGATTTCAGCAATCAATGCTTTTCAACAAATCCAAGACTGTGTTGAACACATCAAGGCATGGATGACATCGCATTTCCTCAAACTAAATGATGATAAGACTGAACTGATGATCATCAGCCCAAAACATCTACATCTACGGTACCATCTTCCATCTTTTCACATTGCACACTGTGAAATTCCAATCAGCAAAGAAGCTTTCAACTTGGGCGTGATCTTTGACAGCAGTCTTAGTCTTGAGTCTCATGTTAATACCATCTGCAGACGAGACTATTTCCACATCAGAAATATTGGGCTAATAAGACGGTACCTCGACCAGCATGCAGCCATCAGCAACTCCCTCCTCTTCGGGCTTCCCAACAACCTGATCAATAATAAGGTGGTACCTCGACCAGCATGCAGCCATCAGCAACTCCCTCCTCTTCGGGCTTCCCAACAACCTGATCAATAATAAGGTGGCCATCAGCAACTCCTCCTCTTCGGGTGTCCCAACTACCTGATCAATAATAAGGTGTACCTACCAGCTCGGTGACCAGCATGCAGCCACCAGCAACTCAGCCTCCTCTTCGGCTTCCCAACAACCTGATCAATAATAAGGTGGTACCTCGACCAGCATGCAGCCATCTGCAACTCCCCTCCTCTTCGGGCTTCCCAACAACCTGATCAATAATAAGGTGGTACCTCGACCAGCATGCAGCCATCAGCAACTCCTCCTCTTCGGCTTCCCAACAACCTGATCAATAATAAGGTGGTACCTCGACCAGCATGCAGCCATCTGCAACTCCCTCCTCTTCGGCTTCCCAACAACCTGATCAATAATAAGGTGGTACTCGACCAGCATGCAGCCATCAGCAACTCCCTCCTCCTCTTCGGCTTCCCAACAACCTGATCAATAATAAGGTGGTACCTCGACCAGCATGCAGCCATCAGCAACTCCCCCTCCTCTTCGGTTTCCCAACTACCTGATCAATAATAAGGTGGTACCTCGACCAGCATGCAGCCATCAGCAACTCCCCCTCCTCTTCGGCTTCCCAACAACCTGATCAATAATAAGGTGGTACCTCGACCAGCATGCAGCCATCAGCAACTCCCTCCTCTTCGGGCTTCCCAACAACCTGATCAATAATAAGGTGGTACCTCGACCAGCATGCAGCCATCAGCAACTCCCTCCTCTTCGGGCTTCCCAACAACCTGATCAATAATAAGGTGGTACCTCGACCAGCATGCAGCCATCAGCAACTCCCTCCTCTTCGGGCTTCCCAACAACCTGATCAATAATAAGGTGGTACCTCGACCAGCATGCAGCCATCTGCAACTCCCTCCTCTTCGTGTTTCCCAACTACCTGATCCAGAAACTGCAACAAGTGCAGAACACCGCAGCCATAGTTGTCAGCAGGATGAGGAAATTCGACCACAAACTGCCAGTCCTGCAGGACCTACACTGGCTGCCAGTGCACTACCGGATACAGTACAAGATACTTGTACTGGTGTTCCTGTCCCTCCATAACAAAGCACCAGATTACTTCAGCAGTCTGCTGACCAGATACCACCCACGTAGGACACTGTGCTCATGTGACAAGTCTCTCCTAGTTGTACCCTCCTCTCGTACAAAAATGTTTGGTGACCGTTCCTTTGTACATGCAAGACCCCTTCTCTGGAACAAGTCTCCCACTTGACACAAGATCCGAGCAAACATTCAAATCTAAACTCAAAACATTCTTCTTTAACATGGCATTTCAGTGTATGTATGTATTATGTATGTGTGTGTGTGTGTGTGTGTGTATGTATGCATGTATTATGTATGTATGTATGTATGTATGTATGTATGTATGTATGTATGTATGTATGTATGTATGTATGTATGTATGTATGTATGTATGTATGTATGTATGTATGTATGTATGTATGTATGTATGTATGTGACGGATGCACCGTGGACCACGCACGGATGCATGGATGTAGTTTGAGGTAAGAGATTTGAACCATATGAAAGAAAACATGACAAGTCTGTTCTGATCTCAACATACCTCATGTTCAACGTAGAGCAGGGGGATGATGTTTTCATGCTTGAGCCTTCGGAGGAGGTCAAGCTCTCCCGCAACCATTGAAACATGCTCATGAAAAACCTTAACAGCCACAACATTGCCATTTGTCTGAAACAAATAGATCAATTGAAACTAGAAAAAAAAGTGTCACATAGTCACATGATAGATGGGAGTATACATTCACATCATGTATTCAACCAGTCATTATGATCAGACAGCGAAATTCCAAAAGCTAAAATCCTAACGGTACTTAACAAGGAAAAACAACTTTATTCACATAAAATAATGTAAGATTCAAATCCAGTTTTTGTTTTGATGTATTATTATTATTTGTATTACTACTATTATTACGTATTAGTGATTGCAAACGTCCAAAAGCTTAAATCATACTGAACAGAAAAGCTTTGTTCACTAAAACTACTAAAAGATTCAATTCCAATTTTTGTTCTAAAATATTACTATTTTTTGTATTGCTATTATTATTTTTACAAATTAGAATTATATGCAGCAGAGAGTTTGTGTGACCCCAGTACACTCCAGTAATCACGATGTATAGCAATATGCACTGATATGCACTGGAAATCTAACATATGTTATATTTGGGATTACACTTTCTTAGTAAAGTACATATTCTAGTATGTTTGTTGGGTTTGGAAAACAAACATGGGTCTTTGAAAGTGAAACAGTTCCAGAATACATCATCTGTAGTTTGTCATGTCAGCTCATTTTGATTATTAAGTCACTGGCTATGTTTAACTGACTCTACCAGTATAAATATTCTTATCATTTATCAAATAATTTGTTTGTGTGTTGTATCAAATAATGCATGTTAAATAGCACAACACAGATAATACAGATGCATCCTTTATGTCCTTGTTTTGTAACTCATGTAATCGTTTCGTGCAGTTTATATATCCACATTCGACAGTCATTACTAATGTCTAAATCGGGCTCTGACAAACAATGCTATAAATATCCACTCACATGACCCAGGCTACTGACGACTATTTTCAAACTATTCAAGAAGAACACTGATATGTTCACAATGTATTCACCGCAGAGGCAAGAAGGGGACATAGTTTCTAAAACAAACATGCAGTTGAAAAACCTACTTTAAGTGAATCATGCTAGAAGCAAGATAGGATGGAAGACGGCAACGTGTAGGAAAGGACGACATTGGATATAGCAGGTCACAGATCATGTGACAGGAAATGTGATTCGCTCAAAGCCATGTTTATCACCTTTCCAGAGCATGCAACATGGCAAAAGTAAGTGTATCTTGTTGTTTTATCTGATGCAACTTTTAAGTAAAACTTGAAGGGTACTTGAATAACTTAGACTCAATATGCTGATACTGCACTTCCACGCTTTGTGTAAATGTAGGTCATCGATCATGTCAAAGGGTATTTCATTCATTCATTTCCCTTCAGGAAGCTGAATGACGTGTACTGAGATGAACACTATTTCATCCATATAGTCTAGGTCAAAGCTTTCAAGATTTAGTGAAATTTGTTTTCGAGTTGAACGTGCAAAGGCAAACAAAAACACTTGTCACAAGGTGAATATCTTCAGCTTGTAGTCAAATTACACAGAAATTACAAGTAAGCTCTACCTTAGTAACTGATAATGCATGTTGTCTTATTTATGGTTAACGTTGTTAATGTATTTAACCAAATGGATAAGAAATACTACTTTCTAAGAGAAAAATATTTACGGTTTTTAATGCAAACAAATAAACTCCTGTCAAGTGTAAATTTGGTTCCAGATAAACAGGACTGTGAACACATTGGATTACATCACCATACTAAGGTAAGATTCACATCTTTGTGTAGGTGACATAATCATTGAGTTATTGATAAACATTACACAATGTATGTCAGAGACAGCAAAGGCAAGTAACTCACGTATAAAAAAACAAACATAGAGAGTTCCTATTCCAATCATATTAGTCATGATAATGGAAATTAATAGCCTGTTTTCTCTCTATTGGTACAGTTTTCAGTGAACGCAAAGCCAAAAAATGAAGCCATCAGCATGAAAGGACATTCTTAATTCCAATTTGAGAATTTTTATGGAAATTTGCAATGGTCCCTGGGTCAAGTGTCATCCTCCGAAAATGACTTTAGTGACTAGGAGAATCCTGTAATAAGTAAGAATTGGCATTTCTTCAAATTGATAGAAGATACGTAAGAACATTATAAACTGAGTTTTCATTCCAGCGATTGGAAGACATCGTCTGTATTGGTCCATCCATTGACAAAAAGTGGGATCATAAAAAAGAGTCAAAGAGAAATGAACTTTGTTCCTGTAATTTTGCCAGAAAAGGTTCTAGGACAAAAAAAATAATTAGTCTGTTTGACCCAATGGATATCGGATTTAGTGTGCCCTTAGCAATCTACATAGTGATTGCTTAATTCTGATATTCTACCCGTGAAGATCCAGGTTAGAATTGGTCTTCAGCAACCCATGCTTGTCATAACAGACGACTAATGTGGATAGGGTGGCCAAGTGCACATGATGTTGATCACTGGATTGTCTGGTCCAGACTCAATTATTTACAAACTGCTGCCATATGGGTGGAATATTGTTGAGTGCAGAGTTCAACAACAAGTAAACAAACAAATTATTCTGATATTCTAATCCAGAGTGATAATTAAGTGTAAATATAAAATATCAACTTGATCAAGACATTTTTCCTTTTCCATTGTTTTCAATCAATAATATTACTTCCCTTCGTAATCTGTGCATTTTATTCATTTTCAAGTATTTCAAGAACTTAACTACCCACTTAACTGTGTTCAAAGCCACATGATTATGGTGACAGGGAATCTGACCAACAGGATCACAGTGTTCACGAATAGCATCTGACCCTCTGACAAATCTGGCAGATTTGCGAACGGTCTGACAGTAGTCTACAACCCGCCAGCCCCAGTGTCTGACTGTATATTTCACAATGAATTTTGACTGAAGTTGTTATATGTGACATGTGTCACTTGTTTGCTGTTTATAAATCTTATGTTTGTTTATAATTTCAATGCCAATTATAAGAAATGTTAAATCTGAAATGTGTGTTTAATTTTATTCTATGGGTCCTGTGAATTTTCAATGGGTCAGACAGACATCTGAAACTTACAGGACCCAATGTCCTGTTACTTTGAAACACAATTCGTGAACACTGGGATCAAGTGGTCAAGCTCGCTGACTTTGTTGTACCCCGATGTATCCTTGTTCACGGTACTGATTTGTCTATGCAATACTCGATTTATTTGCAAGTTGCCCCTGCCACGTAGCCAGCAACAACAACATACAAACAAACAGGACTCGGAGGGGGCACATATGCTTAAGTGTATTTTGAGATCAACATCAGAGTTAAAAATAACTAATGACGACAAAGAACACCCAGCATGCTAAGCGACAGTCTACCATGTCTGATAATCTTGCCGATACATGTAAGTTTTTTCAACCTAAGTATGTCTGCATGATATAACCTGTTGATATAATCTGTGAATGCCTTCTTCTGAGCTTGCGATACTACATGAGCTGATGGACAAAAATATTACTCCTCCACATTTCCTGTAGGCGGTGATAACAGCTGAAGTTGCCACGTGGCATATTTTGTGAGTCAAACACCACACCTTAAAATCTGAGCCATGAACTACCCACTCACAATGTGATATCAAGACCAAATAAAATCCATTTACTCCCTGTCAAACAAGTCCTATATCTAAGAAATACCACATTACAAGGAATAAGTAACCGAATAAGCAGATTTTACACCATATCTTGGTGACATAAATCAATGTTTCACCCTTGAACTTATCAGGTTCATATAACAGTCCACAACATTCCAGTGACGCAGTACATGTCGCCCTGGAAAATCCATTTCACTGTTGTGCAACACACATTATCTCGGCTATTCTGCCATGCAGTAGTCATAGCCACTGATTTTCGTTGTCATTCATAACATGCAAGGGCTGTGATAGTCAAAGAGCATTGCTGAGTAACTATAGTTATGGATCAACAAACATGTAAGGTTTACAGTGATGTAAATACCCCACACCTTAACAATTTCAATAGGGCATTTAAACTTCACATTTTTTTATATTTCTCTTTAAACAATGACAATATTAATGTTTAAAGTACAAACAATTGGCAATAGTTAACCTTTTAACACATTTTGAAAATTACTGACATAGAAAATACCCACATATAAAAAAAAAGGGTGGTTATTGGAAAATTTGAGTACCCACTGAAGATCAGTAGTACCTATTTATAACAGACACCATGCAAAAAGGTTATCTAGAGATCCTGGGTAAGTTCACTCCTTTTTCCTGGGAGATATGACACAGCAAGTTGTTAAGTATGATATATGATACTGAATAGCTTATTTAGAATTGAAAAATGTTGATTGGAAACTCATGAAATCCATTTCCTATTCAGTACACAAATAGGTGGTAGCTTTGCCAAACAATATAGTTCTACTTTGATAGCATAATAATCTCTCATTTCTGATTATTGATCAACATATGGATAAGGAAGAGAGATTTATGGATGTCAAGTTGATATTTATAAAAACTCTCTTCCTTACGTGTATCACTTCTAAATGCCATTAAAGACACATTGATGTATCACTTCTAAATGCCATTAAAGAGCACATTGATAAAGGGTGGGATTTAATAATACTTAGTGATCAACTTATTTACTGTTTGGGTACTTTCATTGGAAGATTATTATGGATAGAAGGGTGGGATTTAATAATACTTAGTGATCAACTTATTTACTGTTTGGGTACTTTCATTGGAAGATTATTATGGATAGAAGGGTGGGATTTAATAATACTTAGTGATCAACTTATTTACTGTTTGGGTACTTTCATTGGAAGATTATTATGGAAGGAAGGGTGGGATTTAATAATACTTAGTGATCAACTTATTTACTGTTTGGGTACTTTCATTGGAAGATTATTATGGAAGGAAGGGTAGGTTTTTAATAATACTTAGTGATCAACTTATTTACTGTTTGGGTACTTTCATTGGAAGATTATTATGGAAGGAAGGGTAGGTTTTTAATAATACTAAGTGATCAACTTATTTACTGTTTGGGTACTTTCATTGGAAGATTATTATTGATAGAAGGGTGGGATTTAATAATACTTAGTGATAAGGAGTGTATTTCCTGCATTAGTGAGTCACATTTTCACAATGCTGACAAGGACCTGCGTGACTAAAGTGGGTGGACTTACAATAGTGGGTGTTTAGGAACTGGATCAATTGTCCTGCTTTAGTAACAATGTGAATGTCACGACTTGCACCAAGTAAACTGTATGAATGCTAAATATAAATATTTCAGCAGGTTTAAACCTTTAAGATACCACTAGTGACAGTTAATATGGAGATCAAAGAAAATCTGAAAGAACTAAATGTTTTAACTCGATATTTATCAAGTTTGTCGGACAATGACAAATCAAGGCACCATATACAAGTATGCGAACTGAAAATTGTTCAACACTTGAATTGTGAATGGCTTTTTGAGAATTACTCATGGAATTACAGCAACAATAGCCAATACACATAGTAGTGGTATGGAAATCATATCAAAACCAACTTTAAGGTTGATCATTTTATAACTTAGTGTACAGAAATGAATAAAGCATAGCTAACAATGTTTTTTTTTCTCTTCACAAAATTGGAAGCAACACTAATCAGCAATATCATGGTGGGGGACACCAGAAATGGGCTTCATGCATCATACCCATGTGGGGAATCGAGCCCAGGTCTTTGGCTTGACGAGTTAACAATTCAACCACTCGGCTACCTTACCACCCCCCACTTTCTCAGTAAAGTACAGATCCCAACCCACACTCTCAGAGTCAGCCGTCTAATCCCCTTAACCACCGCGGCTTCCTTGTGTGTTCACATGCATTTATTGACATTCAAAGAGGGATAGTCCCATACAAAACTTTTTTTTTACCTTTTCACGGCCAAGGTAGACAACTGCTGTCGCCCCTCTTCCAAGGCTATCGGCCGTGTTCCATGTGACCCGGTCAGAGCTCTGTAATTGCCCCTTCTGTACTGGGAAGTTTGGAACCGACATGGAATGTTATAATCTTCATTGATATTAAGGTGTGGTTCTTGTTATCCAAACCTGCAACATAGAAACGTAAACTTAAAAAACACAAACATATTGTTCTTTATTCTCCACTATTACCTAACATGCTGATCATGCTTTTTAAACTCCAAAACTAATACCGGTTATGTTGCATAATAAGTACCCCATACCCTGTAGAAATGAGTGAGAGTGAGTTTAGTTTTACGCCAATTTTAGCATGGCGGAGACACCAGAAATGGACTCCACACATGGTACCCATGTGGGGAATAGAACCCGGGTCTTCGGTGTGACAGGCGAACGCTTTAACCACTTTGTTACCCTAGCACCCGATATATAATCTGTAGTAAGAGGTTATAGTAATAAAATGGTCATGATACCATCATAGGTCATCATAGGTTGATTATGATGATGATGATGATGACGACAATGATGACTTATGAAGCATAAAATGGTCATCATATCATCATAGGTTTGGGTAACACATGTTTGACCTGTTTTACATGAACGCACAGACTCTGGATGTATTGAGAGAGAATCATTGAATGTCATCTTAAGAATAAGAGACACTAAAACATTGCTCATAAGGACTGCAAAAACTGAATGTACCTATGCCCCCTCAGTACCAAAGATGTCAACGGCACAAGAGCCAGGCAGATCCATAGTCATGCAGGAAACTGGCCCTGTTGATAAATTTTTACCAGCTTGCTGGTTTTTCAGTTTAATTGAAAAGTGTAACTTCAGTAGTAAATGAATGTCTGCATAGATTTTATCATAAAACATGGAGACATAACAAAACTGGTCAAAATTCTTTATCAGAATACCGATTCTCATAAACATATTGCAATATGTATCGTTTGAAAAGCGTATTGCGGTATAGCGGTAATACCGCGCAGTCCTATAACCGATTGTCATTACCATAACAAGTAAAATCAAGAACTTGCAGAATGATAACATATTCTCTTATATAAACTGAAGTTTTTAATAAGGACAGGGCATGTTTTCTCTGACGATCTTGCAGGCTTGCTTTGGAGATTTTATTTGTGCTATCTGACATTTTTAGGTAATGTAAAATTGTAAATAGCTACAAGAATAAAAAGAATATATTTGTGTATAACTAATCAACTTTAAAACTTAAACACTGTGCTTGGATTACACTTCACTGGTGAGGTTTTAGTCCGATGTTTCTGGGGACCTTCACGTCTTTTTCAGCGTATTCATTTTAAACTTCCACCAGGGGTATGGCAGCAAGGTTACATGAAAGTTCAGACAACTGGTAGACACCACGTATTCTACACCTTGATATTATTCCCCACAACTATTTCAGTCTGAGATATATTTTAAAGCCATTTTTTGTGTATCTATTTTAAGACTCACTACAGTTGAAATAAATTTTAATTTTAATTGCCAATCCCTGAAAAATATCCCATTTGTTATTCTTAAACCATATTTAGAAATGTACATGTGTACAAATATAAGGTGAACAGCTGGTACTACAGGGCTCCAGATAAATTTTCGGGGTGCGAGTGTACTTACACATCATACTGCAAGTGGAGGTGTACTGAGAATTTTGAAGGAGTACTGACATGTTTTTTTGTGAGCGAGTTGGTGATGTGGTTTGTCTGGACGATTCATCAATCACTATTTCCAACCATGAATTTGTATTTGAAGACGCGTGAGAAATAACTGAGCGACCGTGTGATGCGCGAATGTCAGATCCGATATAAATAGGAACAGTGTAGTTTTTAGCCAATCGAAAAATAGTGACGCATATCGTTGCATGGCAATGCAAGTGATTCCTACTGTCGGGGTTTCCTCATGTGTCAAATCGTGTTTCGCAAAAACTTGACAAGTATTTATCCAAAATAGATTTCCATTTGCACGATACGCACGGATTTTGAGGCGTACATTATGCCCGTACGCCCCTTATCAGTAGCCCTGTACTAATTACATCAGAATGTGTTTTCAACAAATCATCATCATTATTGTATAAAATGGGTTAAAATTTTCTAAATGTAGCAATTTCTGAGTCATGTTAAATACTGTTAGAATTAAACTGAAATAATTATCCTTCATGTGTGAAGTACATTCTGAACATTCATACGCCAATATGAAATCCAGAGGGGCAGGAGTCGACATTTGTCCCGGTATGACGTGAGTGGGTCATGCGTGAAGAATGATATCGATAACCATGTCAAAAGTTAAAAGCAGGGCTCGAAAATTCCACTTGTCCGCTCGTATTGACGAGTAAAATTTGTTTCGGGCAAGTACGTTTTCTGACCCAAAAGTAACAGTTTTCTTTTTCCTTGAAGTTCAGCTATCTTAAATGGTGAACGAATTCAATTTTGTCAAAGATTTTGTACAGAAGACAAAGTAAGTAATGTTTATTGTAGTTTTATTCCAAGCAAGCAGTTTGAAATTAAATAATTTAAATTATATTCATTGTGATGCATGATCTATAGGGCAAGTACAATTTTAGAAGGACGAGAGGACAGTTCATATTACTCGCCAGGCGAGCGCAGATTTTTGAATTTTTCGAGCCCTGGTAAAAGACTTGTTTATAAAACAGAACATGAAGAACCACTGACAATTACTCTACAGCTAGTCTCTCTTACAGTCCCTGAAACAAATATACCCAAGAAAACCAATGCAAGTCTAGAATATGATGCAAGTCTTGCTTACCACAGTTTCAGAAAAATGAAGAAAGTCTCTGGGAATCCTTTTCATTATATTTTTTTATTATTATTCAGGGATTGGGATAGAAAACTTTGACAATGGGCCATTTTCAGGATTATTAGCCATTTTCTGAATTTAGAATGGGCCAATGCCCTTGTATCAATAGTAAACTTCGAAATTTGGTGGGCCATTTTTTATTCTAATGTGCAAAATGGCCCATGGCCCCTGCATTTCCCAAATCCCTGATTATTTATTAAGCATTTTTTCTGTAAAATGTGTTCATTTCATAGACTAGATGTCAGTCTACTGTACAGGGAATGGCATAACAAAATCAAACATAACATATGTTATATTTGGTATTACATTTTCTAAGTAAAGTACCGATTCTACTACTTTTTGGGTTGAGTCCATTCAGGATTCGAACCCACACCCTCAGAGTCAGGCAGCTAATCGCCAGCACACAAAGTCAGCTGCCTAACCCTGACTCTAAGGGTGTGGGTTCGAATCCTGGATGGGACTCAACCCCAAAAGTACTAGAATCGGTACTTTACTAAGAGTGAGTGAGTTTTAGTTTTACACCGTTTTTAGCAATATTCCAGCAATATCATGGAAGGGACACCAGAAATGGGCTTCACAATCACACATTGTACCCATGTGGGAAATCGAACCCGGGTCTTCGGTGTGAGGAGCGAACGCTTTAACCACTAGGCTACCCCACCGCCCCACTTTACTAAGGAAATGTAATCCCAAATATAATATATGTTACATTTGACCGCTTTCTACATGGCATTGTGTAATCACACAACAAAATAATTTTCATTGATCATGTCTCAGAATGAAACCAAACAACTTTAAAAGAATTCAGCTTAAATGAATAACATAACCACATGATCACAGTAACTATCATTATAACCCCAAAGTACAGGCTGAATCAATACATTTGAACTCACAAAACATCCAAACAATAACATGACTACCATTGGTAACAGGCCAGTCAGTATGATCAATATCATTACCGAGTACTGCTGTACTAACAGAAAGTAAACAAGACATCAAACAGTAAAATAATGTGTAAGTATTGTTAGAAAACAATTAATTATTTCAAACTGAAAAGTCAGAAGAATCCTTACCATTACCACAACGATCACTGTGCTGAGTGCTGGCTAACCATGAAATGTGTCATAACAACCACACCCAGCAACTTACACTCAAGTGTAATAGGGTGATCAACAATAAACCAGACAATTGTTAATGATTGTTTGTTATCTGCTTATATGTTAATACTTCCCCCAAAGTTTCCTAAGATTTAATTCATAAATGTCATTTTTTTTCCAAAAAGAGTAGTATTGTGAAATAAAAAACCCCAATGAAACAATCGTCTGTTGTGTTAACCTCACATACAAATTTATACAAGTGGGGAAATCATTCTACTTGGAAGAGTTCACTGGTTCTTAAAATAAAAATAAGATTAAAGAAACACTTTAAAGATTTAAACCTGTAAATATATTTTTTTATAAATAATAAAAGATTCTGATAACAGTAATATATTGTCTATCCTTTCTTGTTACTAAATACATACAAAGTCAACGTGTTCCTTCCAGTATATGCCTTGACAAATCTATGCCAACACTTTTATCTAACCCTAAAATGCTGACCAAGCTGCCAGTAATGTATTCACAGACATGATGTAAGGCCATATATAACAGGACTTTTTGCTGAATCAGCAGATCTAACAAAGTGTTGTCCCCATTTCTATGAACCAACATGATCGCATACCCCAAAATCAGCTATTATGCTTGACAACGGTACAAGAATCTGTATCGAAACGTCGCACTCACGAATAAAAAGAAGTTGTTATCCATAAAGTGTGTTCTATATTGTACTTCCCAACTTCTAAAATGCCACTCAAAGAAGGTGAATATCTAATTAAGGGACCGTTCATGTGTGTGTGTGTGTGGCAATAAACAGAGACCATATTGGTACTGTAACCATATGGTCTCTGTTTATTATATGGTCTCTGCAATAAATAATGGCTATTACTAGGAACTGACTGCCAAATTGAAACTGTGCAAGTGACAAACAGAAATAACACTGTGACATGGGCTTACGTTACTGACTCAGATACCCTTTCTGATCCAACAACCCTTCATGAATCTTAGAAGTCATAATTAAACTTATTCATTAAGTTAATTATCTTATTGTTTGTTCCTTTTTTTCAGAAATCGTGGCCCTGATGGGACACACTCATCAAGGTTTAGGGTAGGCTTTCTATTAAAAAAAACATCTATTCTTTGGCATAGAATTTATAAATTAGAATGATCAAAAAACCCGGGGGTTACTAACTAAGATACATAGCGTTCACT